TGCTGCTTCACCAACTTCTCACACTGTGCACAATTCATCTCAAGTATGCCACCTCTCGTGACAAGATACAGTAGACCTGAAGTGCTAATGTTCCCATGGAAAATTGGCCTAATCAGCTATTATACAGAAACAACAGTAAAAACCGTCAAAAGTAAAGGCTAATAAGCAGACAGAAAAAAGTAACCGCATGCATTATTTTTCCCCTTTGAACAGAAAAAAATGTTTACAGCTTTTCCAAAGTGCTAAGTTACATACTGAGACATATCAAGCCAAGCCTTTTATAAGCCTTTTAATTTAGGGCCGGTAAGTGACGATACACAGATTCACAGTGAGTGGTAGCAATTCAGTTTAGTGGGGCTTCTCACATGATTAAGAACTAATCAGCAGGCTCAGCTCTGATCCCTTTTTCATGTTCCAGCCAAAGGAATCAAGAGAGCAAGAGATCACTCTTGCACAATGTACTTGTATAGCTAGACACTGTTTCGGAAATCAGCATGACAAGTCACCCACTGTGAGGATTATACTTCCCCATATGAGTGGTCAATAGCAGCGAGGCAGGGAGAGAGACAATGAGAATGTGAGAAAGTTTCTTTAATGAACCAGCCAGCCTACGAAGGGCAGGATGAGAAGCAAGGCTGCTCATTTAGTTGGATAACTTCTCATTAAAGTGGCAGAGAGTTCAAATTTTTAAGAAGGTCTGTATGCATCCCATCAATGTAAGTCTTCAATGTACAGTGTCAGCTCATGCTTTCCCACAATCCCACCCCACCAACCCCTCTTTCTGCTGTCATCCTACTAAGAGCTCCCATAGGTATCATAATGTCCCAAAAATGGATCTGCAATGCGAAGAAAGCAGCTCAAATATATACACTGTGGAGTACACTGAATTCCAGATATTTTTGCCTCCTGGAAAGATCTAAGGTTTTTTCTAAGTGTTACCAGTGGAAAAGGAAACAGGTCATGTGAAGATTGTCTGAGGAATCTAAAACTTTTAAGAAGAAGATGGCAAAGGCGTCAACCAAGGGATTACAAGGGATTAACCTCACAAGATTTCATTCTTCTCAGGCATGTGTGTGTTTGTGTGTGTTCACAGTTAGGTATCACAGATTGTCTATTAATAGATGTACAGTAGAGCCAGAGCCAGTAGCAGTTTTTTCAAGATACATGGTTATCCTTGGCCACCTGTCTGAGAGCACAATCAATTCTCTTTCTGTATTAACTTTTCTTTCATAGGAAGCTAAGCTTCCCTTTACCTCTCCTTCCAACATTGTTAAAAACACAGAAGGAAAACACAGCAAGTCTTTTAACATATCTATATGCACATACACAAACACATGAGCAAAACCCCTTCATACTGGATTTCCACAGCATACATTGAATTCTACCTATGTAACTGAGATGATACATTGCTACGGCAACCATTGACTATGTAAGTTCATGCAGCTTTAATTAATATCCTGGGCTTCTAGGAGATTGTCCAGCAGAGTACATCAGTGGAATAGTAATTTATTGTAAGTACAGCCAAGTTAACAAGATGTTATCAAATCTGAAATTTCATTCCTTCCTCTCTGTATGAACCAAAGTTTTTTAATTTTTTTCTTCATGAGCAGAAATAATTTGCTCAATTTTTTCTACAAACAAACCTTGCCTATACTTTCAGCTTACACATAATTATTTTCTTTTAAACATTCAACATTCAAAACCAGACCTGTTTTGACAAGTCACAACACAGAGGTTCCTGGTGACCTGAAATCCTCCTCAGAACCTGCAGGTTGTTAATATCTCCACTGAACCTTGTAAGCCCGACACACATTTTAACTCACAATTTCAAGTGTACAAATTCAAATATTTTGTTGAGTTATGACAGGAAAGGAATACCTTTATTCAGAAAGGGCTTATGAAATGGGTATAATAAATTTTCAAAATACTGCTTAGCATTAGCCAGTTCCATGAATGTTCTTGCCAATAAACTCATTCACTAGACTACTCACTGATAAAAGCAAAGGTAATTAGAATATGGAGCAACTGTTTATTATATTACCTTCAATCACTTTTTAATACATATCTGGCTCTTCCTAATAAGCCTATGAAAAACAATCATGGAGAAGAGAAATGAAAACACTGTTTGAAAGCATTGTAATTTTATCAATTTTATCAACTTAGAATTAAAACCCGCACGAACACAAGTTCAGCAGTGACTGCAGAATTAGAAATCTGTAAAAACACTTCTTGGCCTGTGTGAGAAACAACAGAGGTATATGTAGTGAGCCCCGTAACAGCAGAACATCTGCTACCACTTCTGCGTAGGGTTCATTCTCATGATTTCATCTCCCCAAAAGGGGACCTCTTCTTTCAGTGCAAGTACTCTAACACGTGATGCAGCTAGTTCTAAGTGCAGCAGCGGAGCTGAAGTTCCTGTGCCCTAAACAGACCTTGTCAGATGAAGCAATGCCTGCCTTCTCCCATACACTTTGCCATTTGTCATAGTGCATCTACAAGAGTCTCTTATATTCTCAGCAGTGGAAACTAACTTTTTCAGTTTACTGATGTCCTTGTTAAGTTTTACTAGCCAGCAGAATTGAAACCTAAGCCTTTTCTAACAACTGGCACAATATATAGATATTAATTTTAAGACACATATTGCATGTGTTTAAAAGAAAAATGGGAAAGATAAAAATATTCTGCCCCCCCAGCAGATTGGTAGCTAAAAGAATTTCATATCTTGTTAAGAGGAATTTATGCATGCAAAAAATACTCCTGCTATGTGCAGTTTAATTAATCACCAACATAAAGCTCAAGGCCATCTGTTCAATATACAGGGAGGAAAAAAAGATGAGATGAGATAGCAGAAGACACTTATTGTGATAGTACTTAAGTATACTTAGTATGGCTATTGCAGTACAAAGATACTTGATTAGTACTACTTTGCAGGACATTTAGGAGAATATCCCCATACTTAAAAGGAAGCTTCACAGAGAACATTTACATCTTTAAGGGACCAAGTTCCTAAAACTAGGAATTTGCTCTGTTACAGCTGCAATCAAATTCTCTTTCTATTTGAAATGTTGACAAAACTTTGAGTCCTAAATTAATTTCTAACAGTGACCACCTAACCACTGAACCTGTGCCTCCATTCCAGGTCAGGAAATGGGTGTGTTTCACCAGAAACTGTTTCTTGAAACCTGCATTTTCTTCCAGTTTCATAAATTCTTTGCAGGTAAGTACAAAAGCACAAAAATCAGTCCAGGTATATAGAAAGTATAAAATGTTACCAGGTAAGAACCTCAATACCACCTGAATTAATAAATTACATGTATTTCACAGGGAGGTAACACTCAGATTATACAGTTGCAACCATTTCTCAAGGCTACTGATCCCAGCAGCAAGCACTGACCTATTATCTTAGGGATTTTTATTTGCTTGTTTTTTTGAGGAATACAGTTACAGAAAACATAAGGAAATTGAGAATCCAGTCTTATCTTACCTTCTTCCAAAATGGTTAATTCATACTCTGAATAAAATTTGTCATAATAATTTAATTCATCCACAAAGATTATATTTATAGACTTGTTACCTAATACACAGTTTCTCAAAAATAAGTGTATACACACAAAATGCTATTCTCTCCACATAATTTGATCCTTCAAAGCACATATTATTCTTTTGTTTCCTAATCTTCCACAGGAAAAAAAAAAAAAAAAAAAAAGGGTTCTACTGCCTTTTTCTGGCAAAATTTTTAGTCAGTGTACATATTAATGTAATTGACATGTTGAATTGATACTTGAAACAGCTCACAGCTGGTAGCTTGCCTAATGATTTTATTATTGTTAATATTTTGCATATCACACGATGCTTTCTCAGAAAGAGTATTTTCTTTGTATGTGCATTTTTGTTGTTGGAAAACTAACAACTGGTAGGTTTTTTACGTTTTCCGCAATAATTAATGACACTGATTTACATGTCTACAGTACATTACACAGACACATGTCAGGCTGTAATGCTTCTGAGTGCTTAAAAGCTGTGATTCCCCATCGTTAGTACTGGATTTGCACATACCAGATAGCAGCAGTAAAAATTTTTACCCAGCTCAGTGATGGCAGGCAACATGACAGACTTTCTACCAAAGTATCCTCTTCACATGATACTTTATCAACCAGTATGAAAAAAAAAAAAAAAAAAAAAGTGTTCTACTGCATTTTGCTGGCAAAATTTTTAGTCAGTGTACATATTAATGTAATTGACATGTTGAATTGATACTTGAAACAGCTCACAGCTGGTAGCTTGCCTAATGATTTTATTATTGTTAATATTTTGCATATCACACGATGCTTTCTCAGAAAGAGTATTTTCTTTGTATGTGCATTTTTGTTGTTGGAAAACTAACAACTGGTAGGTTTTTTACGTTTTCCGCAATAATTAATGACACTGATTTACATGTCTACAGTACATTACACAGACACATGTCAGGCTGTAATGCTTCTGAGTGCTTAAAAGCTGTGATTCCCCATCGTTAGTACTGGATTTGCACATACCAGATAGCAGCAGTAAAAATTTTTACCCAGCTCAGTGATGGCAGGCAACATGACAGACTTTCTACCAAAGTATCCTCTTCACATGATACTTTATCAACCAGTATATTGCTCATAGTGGGAAGTCAGACACCACCTGGTGTATTCCTAGAACAGACCTGAACCGACAGAGGGTGCTCATTGCTGATCAATGCTTTGGCTCTGTGTGGTTGCAGTACCTGTCACTTGGCACCTGGAAACTGGGGCCAAACTCCCTATATCGATGAGCCACAGCCTGACTTCAGCTGACAAAGCATTCCGATACCAAAAATCTCCCCTAGCTTCTGTTTTGTTGTAAAGCCACAAATCCATTAAGTTTGCTTTTACCCTTTCCTGGTTTACTATTTGTTTGTTTCAAGTCCTTCCTTACATTTGACCTTTCTTCTTTTCCTTTTCTCTTTCCTAAACAAATGGAATAAACTTGAGACTTACCAACCAGCTTGACAGACTTTTTTTCCTTGCAACAGTTCTTTCCCATCCTGTAGCAAATTCATCCCAGTTTGGAGTAGTCCTAAATCCTTATTCAGCTTTCTTCTGTAAGATTTCAGTACCTTTTACCTGAAAATAAAATAGAGTGAAAATATGAAAATAGGGCACTCATCTTCAAGCTTGTATTTTAGAAATAGCAATCAGAACTTCTGGGATTTTTGTGATCTCTCTGCAGTAATGTCAGATGTCTTTTTTGTTTAAGAGACAGCTTGGGAAGAACAGAGTGTACCGGGTAAAGTGTCCCTGAAGTCTTGCAATTCTTCCACACATCTACTCCTTTTGGGAATGCATTTTCTCATCTGTACAATTAAAAATACTTTATTTGGGCTGCACATGGTACTGTGAACTATTCACTTTTTGAAAATAAAAATTATTTTCAATTAAATTTAAGGAAAATCAAGCCATTTAAATATTGCATTTCAAACAAGAATTTTTTACAAAAGGTATCTGCCATTTGACAAATAAAACAGTATCTCTAAAAGCATACAAACTAAATCTGGTGGGTGAGTCACAGAAAGCTTACAAAAATGTGTTTTTACAGGTTTATATTGGAGAACAGATTAAACTTGACAGTTTCCTTTAAATTAAATTACTATGTTAGAAATCATAGTATAAATAGTGTTTAATAAAAACAGCTTTCTTGTCCCCTAGCAATGTTCAAAATTAGGGAGAAGAGATTCTATTCTGCAGCTGAATGAAGCAGATCTATCAACATATTTTCCTGCCTATATGCTTCAATGTTGTGTGGAGCAGAGGACAGGGTTTCTGTACCCCATGCCCATAGGTAACTTACTCTAAATGCGTAGTTAACAACTGATTTATTACTAAAACAGGTAAGAAAGTACAAATTGATATAATATGAAAATACAGCTATGTGACATTTACACGTGACTTTCTAGGGAGATAAAGGACTTTGTGCATGAGGCCAGAGACTATCCACCATGAAGGTGTTAGTGAGCTACTTTTGTAAGGTAGCCTTTATGACACTTGGGGCAAGTACGAAGGGATCTGAGGGCACAGGGACAGGTGCCCCAAAGACAGACAGGTTATCCCTCACACCATGGTCAGACATCTCTACTGGGTGACAAAAGCCAGCCAAAGCCTTTCTGGTGCCGAGGTGACTCCTTGGTGTGTGCTAAGGCTGGCATGGAACAGCCTTTGGGCTGAGCAGGTCACGATGTAACCAGCCACTGGGGCACTGCTCTGTGGAGAGCTCTTCTGCCTATCTGGCTTTTCCTTGACTTTTGCTCAGGTTATACAGGTCAGTTCTAAAGCTCTTTCCTCCTAAATGTACTAATTTATTTTTTGTATTAATGTGCAAAGGAAAAAAAAAACAAACCAACATGCTTGGGAAGAAAAGTGGAGCAAAAAACCCCTACTGAATCAACACTGTTCTAGAACCAAGGACAAGAAGCAAATTATTGACACACAATCATCTAGTAGGACTTCTCACAATCTCTTCCTAAGTAAACACCTGCATGAACTCTTTGCTGAAAGCAAAATCAATTGAGTTGTGCTTATCTCTCAACATAATTATCAATTAATGAGTTCTATGTATTTATAAGCTTCATTATTAGTATGATATTCTTCATTGTATTACCTTCTTTCCTAGTAATTAAATGTTTGTGTATGTCCCCAAAGCTATTAAAAAGATATCCACAAAAGTAATTATGAGCACATTCACAGTCTCTTTTACCTCAGAAGAGATAAGAGATTTTCATGAGAGTGTCTTTAAGTTCACCATTTCAATTCTCACAGACTTTCAATTAAAAAAAGAAAATTATTATAGCTAAAGGGCATGCCAGTTCTAGAAGATTTTAAAAAATGTAAACCAGGAAAGCATAAGGTTCTAAGAGGACATGAAATACTGAAAGAGAGAACAGCAGATACTTTTTTAAGCCAGGTGCCATGATGACAGGAAAGCTAAAATCAATGGTAAAACATTGCTATGGGACAGGGAAGGTTTCTTGACCTCAATGGTGAGTTGTGAACAAGAAATGAGGCACTTTTACATGGAGCTTCTCTAAGCAGGAGTGATATATCACTTCCTGATGCAGATGGATAACACTGATGATTCACTGGAAAGCCTGCCTATCAAAATTTCAAGATGCCCAATTTCAGCTTTGTGATAAAAAACATTAATTCTTTTGGTTTTGCTGTAACATTATCTGGCAGGCATAGCATTTGCTTATTGTTAGCCCCTTAATAGTTGTTTTCAAGACACTATGGGAAGGGAAAATGCAGTAAGGAGACTGCCCAGAGGTATTGTTGTGGTTGGACTAGGGTTTTTCTCCTCCCTTTGTGGGTGTTTAATACATTCCTGGTTCTTTGTTATCTCCAGCAGAGACATCAATTGCCGTTAGTTGATATTAGTGTTTTTGCCATCAGTTTGCTGGGCAGAGCTCTCCTCTTTCAGTGCTTGCCTGTTCTTACACGAACCCTGGGAGAGGTCACTTGCTTACTCCTCTCACTTATCAGACCTTCTGCAATTTAGTTACAGCAAAGTCAGTGCAAATGTCCTCGCAGTCCCGTGACAATATGGCAGCTGACAGGCTGAAGATATCTTTTGGGAATGGCATTTGGACTTGCTCCTCTACAAAGACTGATTAATATGGGAAGTGAGTGAGAAAATAAATCCATTTGCAACAACTCTCCCAGTTCTAAATCACTTGTCTGAAACCTGGAAACTGTAATGTGTAATTTTTGGCATATTTTGGAAGACTATTTTAAAACTAGAAGGTCGACAGCTCTGAAAGCGCAATGACTAAATTGATCCTTGCTGTCCTACAAATCCCAAGGAATCTGTGATACTGGAAGTAGATACTACTGCCTTCCTTTAGGAGATAAATCCTTTTTGTCGTATAGAATATCCATGCAGCACATCAGCAATGGAAGTGTTCATAAGACACAGTAATGTGTGGGTCATTCCAGTCAGTCGCCCCTTCAAGCTGGTCATTTGGAGGCATATTCTGTTCTCAGTCTTTTCGGTTAAACCATAGCCTATCTTCTTGAAATCAGCATTGAAATGGACACCCCACAATATATAGAACTTTAAAATATATCACTTTCATTTCTGTCTCCCAAATTAATTTAGTCAACATATATTTACATTATATATTCTTATACTCTGGTATCTTTTCCATAGTAACTTGAGCTACTTAGGACTTGTGGTACAATATATAATGTGCTGTATGAAATAGAATTTGACATAAAAACAGGGAAGTAGATACAAGTCTTTTATTAACAATCTAACAATCAGAATGTTCTATCAAAAATAACTATACAAGCGATGGCTTGCAAATTACTTGAATCTATATAAAAGCATAAAAGAGTAACATATCATAGTAAAACAGAATTAAAGGAAGACGTCAGTTAGTAAAAGCTTTACAACTTAAACAGGATGTTATTGTCATTAACTATCAACCTGATAGTCCCTGTGATGTGGTGAGATGTCACAAGGTCAAAAGAACAAATGCTTTAAATTCTATATTAACAAATACTTAGAAATAAAACTCAGTGTACTACTAAATAAGATGATGAGAAGACACATAGCAGGACAAAATAAAAAAAGCCATTATCAGAACTAATTACATTTCTTACTGTAAATCAATTAGTCAACCAGTTATCTGGAGATTAGATAAAGAACCAAACCGAAATGCTGTGATTATAATCACATGGCTTGACTAAAGCATGCACACATGGCAGTGATACACAAGAGAGGCAGACCTACTGTCTCTGTCCATATCCTCTATACCTGAAGGTCAAACTCACAATGTGGAACAACCCTGTGGGATCTTCTCCTTCACCTTCTTACTTCTTTCTACCAAATATTCTAATCAAATACTTCTCTGAACAGTTATTCTCAGATAATTTTTGTTTTCATTCACTTAGAAAGAACCCTATAAATAACATATAAAATTTCCTTTCTTCCTTCAAAAAAACTAGGAAACAACAAATGCATGTTATTCCTAGGCAAATATACTCCCTGATTAAAAGCAGAGAAACTCCATCTGTTCCATCTATGTGTAGTTACAGCATTCAGAAAGAATATATGTGAGAAACCTGTTGATAGATAGATAGATAGATAGATAGATAGATAGATAGATAGATAGATGATAGATAGATAGATAGATAGATAGATAGGTAGATAGATAGACAGACAGATAGATAGAGTGGGAGGCATATGGCATTATCATGCAATTTCACTACATTTCATAACTAGGCATGCACAACTGAGTCTAATGCCAATAGCAAAGACAACACTACCCTTTTATTGGATAGTCTTTTTCCGCATAGAAACACCCACAAGAGGAAGCAAAGCTGAACAACAGGAAATAAATTAGGATGAATAAGTTTTAAAGATGTAGCCTGAAACATCAGATACCCTACAGAACCAGAATATCAGACTTGAGTAATGCTGTACGCACTTCTCATTAAGCTACTTCTGCAGCCAGTGGCTTTCAACTATGTAGACTAGAGTCTGTTCTTCTGTTCCAGTCATTCTGTGCTAAAGAAAGCGTCCTTACAAACTTAGGAGGGAAAAAGCACAGCTACTCAAGGTCAGGCAATCCAGGAGGACAACTGGGCAAGGACAGTGGAAGATAACAGTTGAAGTGATATACTCTGGTGACACGGTAACTAAACAGAAAGGTGAAGTAAAGCAGTAGAGATTCCCACACTAACTGAGTTACTCTGTTTCTTTTGGATTTAAAATGCCTTTTAAATTAGATTATCGAAGTTATCACATTCTTCAAAGTTTCATTTCTGCTGAAGAAAAAGCGTATGAAGGGTCAAATGGTTGTTTACTTGGCAGTTAAGCCAAGTACTTTTCTACACTTAATGGTGTAGAAAAAATTATGGCTTGTCCCATGTACAAAAAACTTTATCTGTTTGAATGGGAGTGGGAAGGAGGCAGATGTTATAGCTTCACCTTTCATCACAGTAGGGAGCATGAAAAAAGCATGTAATCTGCCCTGCTATTGTGTATTCTACATTACACATACAAGACTTCTACTGAAAATATATGAAGAAAACAAAGGATTTGGAAGTAACAGAAACCACTGTTTGGG